GATACACAAATGCATAAGCTACACCACATGTGCAAAGGAAAACAAATAGAGAAAATATGTATGCCCCTTCCAGGAAGATAGTTATTTTCCAGAATGTTAAAATTATGCACAAGCATTTCCCCTATTACAAAAAGTAGGCAAAAAGAAGGCTGGTGTGAAAAAATGCACATCCAAATGTAGTTTATCTGTCCTAAATACAAACTGACTTACCTTTTAGATCAACAGTTCATTGCCATCTTGCCTGATTTTCTTCTTCCACAAGTGAACACTTGCCCTCTAGCAGATTCATAAGTCATTTAAGCCATTGCCTTCAAGTTTAAGAAATCCTCATCTGAAAGTTTGCTGCGGCGCTTGTAACCACAGCCCAGCAGCAAGCAGGACGCGATGCTGCTCCTCCTTGTGCAGTGCTCGGGCAGCCAGCCCGTGCTTACTGACTACAGACCAGATTTTCATGTTTTCTGTTTCCCCATTTCTTCTACCCTGAGAGCTGGCCTGTGCAGCAGGATGACTTTTAGAGACGCATCCTTCATACCCTCTCCTTGCTGCCAGATGTCCTCTGCAGCCAGTTCATTGCTTTCATTTTGTGTTTCACAATAGCTTAGAAATTTTAATAAAAATTCCCAGGCTACTACTTCTGAAAAAAAAAGTTATTATTCTTAAAGAAGGTGGAGAGGCCAAAAGAGCTGATCTCAGTTAAATCTTCTGAATTTCTCTGATTTGACATTTCTTTCTGACTGTCAAATCCAGACTGCTGACAATCCTTTATATATTTATCCCTTTGAAATATGGCCAAGCTGGGACAAGGTGTGGGGCAGTACAATAGTGATGCTATTCCCTGAAATACCTGACACGTTTGCACTGTACTATCACAACTCACTGTGCAGAGAGAAGAGGGCACTAATAGACCTTCAGAGGCTCCTGATCAGTTTCTGTGGATGGATGCTCTGACCCCACAGATAATGATGAGGATGAAGCAATTAGTTTAAGTCTGGCAAGGTAGACAAACAGGTACCCGAAATTCACCGTACTGGTTACTGAAAACAGGCAAGGCACAGGGAAATATTTTTTCTGATTAATTTATATAAAAATAAATTTGACTTTTGTAGAGTTGATGTGATTTTGCAAATCAGCACATTGAAGACATCTAAACAAAGGCCATCTGCATGTTTATAAACATGTACAAGTGTTTAAGGGACGCAATATGTTAAAAAAAAGTCAACAATAATGGTTAGTCTATGCTTCCAATTATATTCTTTCTTCAATTAGTCTTGAAGAAACTAACACCTCTATTAATCATTTCAATTAACTCCACGCACCACATGACATCCGCACCAGCAGCCCATATGTTGCGTTCCAATCACCCAAATATTAAAGCCTTTTTAATTGATTGATCTAAAGAACATTCAACAGGCTCAAGGTGGCAGCCAGCCAGGAAATCCCAAAAGAAGATGACAAAAAGGTGGGGGTGCTAAACCAGCTTCCCAATTTGTTTTTCCTCTTCCTCCAGGGTTCACTAAGTTAATCCAATCACAGCCCATAAAGCCCCTTTTTAATAAAATAAATAAATAGATAAGAGAACACACATGTTGGCTTTCCCCCAGAGAAGCCCCCTCTGCTAAAGCTGGAGAGCCATCCTGTTAAGAAAGTGCCGCATAGGAGGGTGCATTTTTTATCCAGCAGAAATATTTAGCTTGGCCGCCCGCCAGGGAATGCTGAAAGAATAGACTGAATTAGGGGATTTACCTTCCACGTGTTTGGCACGCGTCATTAGAGGCTCTGAAGAGCTTGACTCTTTCGCTCTCTCACTCTCTGTTTTTACTCCCCCCCACCAGAGCTTTGATGCAGAGAATAAAGTATGAGCTATAAGAGTGGTTGATGTGTTGCAGTCCTAAATGTTGGCACGGTGGCTTTTGTGCTGTCGAAGAAAACCGATGCCCAGTTGTTTCTGAAGGTTTTAATTTTTTTTAAAATTCCAGTCAGGTATGGGGTGATGAATTTTTAAAGCATTTGCTTTAGTGCAGAAAAAAAAAAAAGAGCAGGCTATTTTTCTTTCTCTCTTTTCCTAACAATAACAACAAAGTTTTTGAAGTTTTCTGTAGACAGATTTAAACTTGGAGAAAGTGGCTTAAAAGTAAATTCCATAAGTGAAACTTCAACCACAGAGCATTTTAGGAGCTTGTTTGAAAGGTTAGTTTTTTAACAATAACTCATGAATTGCTCTGTCATTTGACTTTCATATGCTGTCACGTGGACTTATTTTTAAAAACACTTCTTTACCTAAGTACTTTGGTCTTGCAAAAACCTATTAAGATCTATAACCAGAACACGTTAGTAGAGGTGGTTGGTCTCCACCCCAAGAAACTTGAGCACCTTCTCAGAACTTTTAATTTGTGAAAGGAAAGGCTATGTTTTAAGTTAGCCTCTGCCACCTTAACTTAGGGCAAGGAAAAAAAAGAAAAGGAAAAAAACCTACAGGTTCCAGATGAATAAAAGCATGGAGGTCCTTAAACCAAGAGTAAATGCAAGTGTTTGTGTCTGGCACAGGTGCCAGCCCTGTTTACAGAGCACAGTCTTGCAGATCAACTCACAGTGCCACTAACACCCATTCACCGAGCTGGTGTGAGCACTGGAGGAGCCCTGCTGCAGCTGTACTATCTCATCACAGTATCAGATAAATGCAGGCCCTGTTCACTCACAGTTTTTATTGCTATCAATTAAAACAAATCAGTTTAGAAGCTGCTGGCTGACATGCTTACTCAAAGTAAGATTCAAGCAGAGTTTCTGAACTACAGTACTGGCTGTATCTTTATCCCATCTTCACTTGCAAAAAAATCTGGGTCTGACTTCAGCTAATCATGCCACCAGATGACAGATCACATGAGAATTTTCATCTCTTTTTCAGTAAAACTAGTTCATTGGGCCTTGCATATCAGGAGATCCTGTGGGCTGCAGAAAAGCAACTTAAGGAATGGATACTAGCCCTCAGATGGAAATACAAGATATTAACATCAGCATCAACATCCAACATCAGAAGGGTGCTGAGGACCATCTCCTTGCTGAAGGTAAAACATCTCAGCTGTAGGAACACCTTAGCTTAAGGGCAGACCCACAGTTTATCACTTCTTAAGTAAATCATTCATAATTCATAGCCAGGTTGAAAACCACACAAATAATGAGCTCTCAGTATTACTCAGCGGAAAGTGAGAACTGAAGTTTTCCACCTAAACCCGTAAAGGCTGACAAGTCCAGACATGGTTTTGTGAGCTCCTTCCTGGACCCCACGTTTTTAATTCAATTTAAGGAAAGCTAGGCAGCCACTTCCCCCCCTGTCTTTGAAGTAAAGATGTTAACATCCGTGCTAATAATACAAACTACCCCTTCTTTTATCAAAGGCTTCAGCAATCTCAAAGGCTTTCTTTTCATCACAAAGAAAAACTGCAAAGTAAAGCTGCCTAGTTCTGCTGCTAACAGGGCAGTTTTGGCTCTGTACACTGCACAGATGCCAGCCAGTGCCCAAAGCACTGCTTTATAAATTCATAGAATTGTTTCAATTACAAAAGACTCTTAAAATCATATAGACCTTAAAGATCATTCCAACCATGAATCCAGCACTGCCAAGTCCACTGCTAAGCCATGTTTCTAAGTGCCACAGCTACATGGTTTTTAAATACCTCCTCCTAGGATGATCACTCCACCACTTCTCTGGGCAGCCTGTTCACTGCTTGACAATCCTTTCAGTGAAGAAATTTTTCCTAACATATCCAATCAAACTGCCCTTCATGCCAGAGGCTGTTTCCTCTTGTCATAGAGAACAACAAAGTCCTCACTGAGCCTCTTTTTCTCCAGGCTAAACCACTCCAGCTGCCTCAGCTCCTCCTCATAAGGCTTTTGCTCCAGATCCTTCACCAGGTTTGCTGTCTATCTCTGGACTCTGGCACCTCAATGTCTTTCTTGTAGTGAGGGGCTCAGAGCTGGACATAGTGTCTGAGGTACAGCATCACCAGTGCTTACTACAGGGTCCTGGTCACTGGCCAGGCCCTGCTGACCACACTGTTGCTGATCCAAGCTAGGATGCCACCGGGTTTCTTGGCCACCTGGGCACAGGCTGGCTCATGTTCAGTCACTGTCAACTGGCAACCTCAGGTCCTTTTCTGCTGGACAGCTTCTCAGACACTCTTCCCCCAGCCTGTAGTGCTACATGAGGTTCTTGTGAGCCAACTGCAGGAACTGGCATTTCACCTTGCTGGACCTCATACAATTGGCCTTGGTCCATTGACCCAGCCTATCCTGTCCAGATTACCCTGTAGAGCCTTCCTACCCTCCAGCAGATCAGCACTCCTGCCCAACTTGGTGTCTTCTGTGAACTCGCTGAGGGTGAATTTAAACTCCTTGTTCAGGTAGTTGATAAAGACATTAAACAAAACTGGCCCCGGACTGAACCCTGGGAAACACCACTAGTGACCAGCTGGATGTAACTCCATTCACCACCATTCTCTGGGCCTGGACATCCAGACAGGTTTTTACCCAGTGAGGAGTGACTCTGCCCAAGCCATGAGCAGCCAGGACATTGCTGTGGGAGACATTATCAAAGGCTTTACTGAAGTCCAGGTAGACAAGATCCAAAGCCTTTCCCTCATCCCCTAAGCGGGTCATCTGGTCATAAGGAGACTGGGTTGGTCAAACAGCACCTGCCTTTCATAAATCCACACTAGCTGAGCCTGATCCCCTGGTTCTCTTTTATGTGTCAACATGATCTGCTCCAAAACCTTTATGTTTCCAGTGGAGTCTCTTTGCTGCTAACTGAATCTCCAGATAACTGAAATGCAGAATTTGTGTACTGTACACTAGTAGCATCAGGAACTGCAACAGATAATTCCCCATCAGTTGTTTCCACCTTATCAGAAAACAGAGCATGTATTCTGGCCTGACAGTCCCAAATGAGAAAATTCCTCTATGGAAAGACTGCAAGTTTAATAAAAGGTAATAGTGAATGAGCCACTGAGAATAGCTCAGTTGGTTAGAGCATGGTGCTAATAATGCCAAGGATATGGGTTTGATCCCTATATAGCCCATTAACTGAAGAGATGATCTGTGTGGGTCCCTTCCAATTCAGAATATTCTGTGAATTAAGATGTGCATGCTTCAGGCTCGCATTCCATGACAAAGTGCCACAGGGCAGCATGTGCTTCTCAGTAAGGGAAGGCTTCCCTGTGAGGGAAGGCAGGCAGTTTTCCCCACGCCACTGGCATAGGGCTGCCTTCCTGTAAAACACCCACTGACACAAAAGGTGCATTTCTGCAGCTCTGGCCCCCATCACGTATGATCCCAGGACTATGACTGGAAACTGCCTGCCTGCTTTACCTCTTTAGTAGATACGGTGAGGCCAAGTGTATTTCAGTGTTGTGACTGGTATTTTGAAACTTAGGTCAAATAACAGAGAGCATTGGCCTGACAATATCAGTTCAGTGGCAAATTGCTTGATGTATTTGTCACCATTAAAACAAACTTGTGTTTAAACACAGTCTGCTTATCATATTTACAGAATAAAAATATGACCTTTAAAGCGAAATAAAAGAGCTCTTTTTTCCTCCCCACATCTCCTCCCTCTGTGTTTTTAATTAAAACCATGAACCAACACATGTATCCATCCTTCCTTCTGTAATAGCTTGGGATTCCACTCTCAAATACTATACAGATAAAATGAACATTTATGTGTTAGCGATTCGCAGTGCAGTAAATTCTCCTTTCCAAACCTGCCGTCTTCATTAAAATCTTATTTGCCTTGTAATCTCCTTTGATCGCTAAAGTTATAAGAAGCCCCCTCCTCTTCTTTTGATACTATCAGTGTAGCTTTTGACCAGAGAGCGTGATGAATTAAATGTATGACAGATATGACAGGTGAGGAGTGCTTGGAGAGGGCTTAAACAGCAGGGATAAGACAAAGCCCCCATTTAAGAACAAAACCCCTACCCGATGGCTAGCCCGTTAATGACCAACCACTCTATTTGTCCTGGTGGATGAAGAGCAAGCTGATACTACAGACAAAGCTTTGTTAGCCATGGGGCTGTTCTTCAATCAGGCCACACAACCAACTAATTGAAATGCCCAGTTTTTCCCCCTCAGGATTTGATTTACAAGCCAGGGGGTTTGTAGGTATACTCTTTTCTTTTTCTTTTTTTTCCCCTTGTAATGTATTAATTCAGCCACCACAAGTTTACAGCTGGACTAAGTGGAATTACACCATATAAACCTAAAAAATCTATCTGCAGGGATCCAGCTAAGCCCTGGAGAGAGACAAGTCCAGCAATACAAATCCAAGGAAATTTGGAAGTCAATCCATTAGGATTACCAAGCCTTTGATTTTGGAAGTCATAGGCTCAAAATATGGAACTGATGAACCCTATCTCCCTTCATTTTTGCCTCTTTTCAGAGGACTTACTGACCCCATTATTTTTCTGTTAAAACACATTCATAAATGTGAACAGAATTATATTGGGTTTCCACTATATTTTAAATTAAGGAAGACAGGAAAATATCTGCTTTCCTGAACTTGTGGGTAACATATCCTTTAAAATTTCATACTTATTTCCACAAATTTAAAACTGCCACAAGTGAAGTCATCACTCTTCTCATCAGCTAAAGGCCCCTGTCCCCCTCTTTAAGGTTCATGTTGACTTCCAGTGTGGTCTGCTGTATCTAAACGTGGAGCTTCAGGCACCAGTAACTGTAAACCAGTGGCTGCTTCCCAGAGATGAAGAAATCTCTGTGCCCCCTGCAGACCAGGATTATATTCTCAATGGGCAGTCTCTCATTTTAGCCCACCAATCTGCAGTTAGCAGAAGGCCAGGAGTTTCCAGGGGTAGGTGCCAATACAATATTCGCTGTTAAACCCAAATGGTAAAGAAAAAATAAATTATAGGGATGTAGTAATGATCTGGTTATAGTGGAAAACACTACCTGAAGCAAGAATTTTCACTTTCAGAAGAAATTAATTTTTTATCTCTTTGCTCCTTCCTGTCCTGCCCTCATAGTGTGCTGTGGTTGAATCATTCGTGCTGGTATCAGGAAACCTGGGTTCTGCTCTTAGCTCTTCCACAGGCCTACTATGTGGCTTCTGGCAAACCTCAGACCCTTTCCGTACCTCAGTTTCCCTATATAAAAATGCAAATATTCCTACCTATTTCAGAAAAAGTGTGGTCCAGTGGTTTAAACCATAGAATCAAGATGTCTGAATTCTCAAACTGAATATGGTATCAATTTCTGTGGTCTTTGAAGCAACTACCCCTACTGACCCAAGGGGTCAGCTTCCCCTGGGAAATGCTGGATGGCCAAACCCCAGGCTTCCCAATAGAACAAATGTGCTGCTTTCTGAGTAAGTGGTGTTTCTGTCTGGATAAGAGCTCAGCCTCACCTCGCAGTGAGACCACTTATATGGAATGCAGAAGAAAAGACGGTCCAAGCTACAGCCAGCAAAGCTTTCGGGAGCTGCTCTCACTAGAAGGCCATGGTGACCTTCTCTCAGAGTACTTCCCTGCAGACCACCCAGCAGAGCTGGCCTGACTCTGGCTCAGCCATTACAGTCCCAATTCAGCATGTGGAGGCATAAGGCTAAAGTTCCAAAACTTCACCATGCACGACAAAGGGCTGAAATGATAACTCTCCCCTTCCCCAGGGAGCACTCTAGAACTTTTGGCCATTTTGCAGTAAACCACTGTGTCTCTCACGCCCTCTTGTCCTCCATTTTTCCTCCATGAAAAACCCCCTCAAAGTTTTGAGTCCATTCAACTCAGAATAAGTAGCAATTTGAAAACTTTTGGAGGGCAGAAAAAGCACTTCCTTTCTGGCTGTATCTCATGGTTCTCTGACTTATTGGACACTTGCAAAGGTTAATTAAATAATGTTTAGTTATTCATGATACATAAAGCCCCAGACAAAATGGTGTTAACATTATGATGCATAAAAGGGTCATTCAAAGAGAACAACCTTATAAAAATAAAGAGGGGAATATTGTTAACCTCACAGAAATACACACTTTTTCACTATGGACTCCAATAAAAGTAGGCAAAATTGTTACCAGAATTGTCACTAACATTGTACTGAAAAAAAACCACACTGAATTTTAGGAAAAGAGCTAGAGATTTATATCAGTAAATAAAGGAAAAGGGGGGTGCGGGAACAAAAAACCTCCCTTCTGGTGCATTTTGGTTTTGAATGTGTAGATCTGAACGGAAGCTGCATTTTTTTCAGACAGCTTTCCAATCTCCCTATTAGATATAATGTTATCGTCTTATTACACGTTGCCTACTAGATGTGCTCTGACTTTTATAGATGTCAACCCCATTTCTTAATTCAAGACATTTGTCTCTTGTGATCTCTGCGCCTCTGGGTTAGAGTTCCAGCCAAAGAGGTGAGCCAGCTTTGTATTTTCAATGCAGCCATAAAATCCTCTGGTGCTACATCCCTGAAAACTGCTGCTGCCCTGCAAAAAGGCCTGGATTTTGTCTGTCTGCAGCTCAGCACCCAGAAAGGACATTTTGCAGAAGGGCTCAGTGGACATTCAGGAAAACTGCTTTCAGGACCTTATCTGAAGGACAATACTTAACTTTCACCACCTGGGCCTGGCCCCTGAAAGGAAACAGTCACACTCAATTATTGTCTTTTTCTAGACAATTACTATTTAATCAAACCTCCAGCTGATATTAACTGGTGGAAAAAAGGCTATTTTTAGTCAGGACAGTGATTCCCCCTCACTCCTTTCATCTATGAGTAATGTATTTCCTTTTGCTCTCAGTACCACAAACCAGTCCACACCAGATGCTCAGTATTAGGTAAAATTAAAAATGTGGGCATCATACCCTTTGAAAGATGCTTTGAACTCAAATTAATATACCTAAACCCACTATTTAAATTAAAGATATCCTGTCTCTCTGCTGTGTAGTTTTCCCTTTTATCAGAAGGGGAATTTTAGTCCATTTAAAGGTTTTTTTGGTTCAGCTCCACAGACCACGCTTTGACTTAACAACACATTGTAATTTCCTTTTAGCCACAAGAATAAAGGAAATGTATAGAAGCAACACCATAATCTTGTCAAGCACTCTCTTTCGTTTCCCTGAACAAGCCTGTTTGAGAAAATCTGAAGCCTAAGATTTTTAAGATGTTATCTGGAAGATGTTTAGATCATGGAACATTTTTATTGAAAACAGATGTATGTATTTTTATGCATCTAATGATGTACCCACACACATAAAATATATGCCTACTAAATTCTTTTATGGACAAGAACAGAACAGTCTGAAACCTGAAGAAGTTTTTCAGACTTCAGTCCTCTTGCCTCAGCATTTTACCTTTTCCAGACTTTTGTCCTGAATCTGCATGGACACTTGAGAAAGCCCCACCAGGGAAGTAACAACCAGGGAGAGCCTGCATCCAGACCCACCTGTGAGCAGGGCTCTACAACTGCTATCAGAAGTAAAAATGTGGGAGCAATGTAAAATACATTGATTTCTCACATATCTCTGTGCATATATGTAAAACGGGCTCCTGCACGACTCCTGCCATTTATTTGAAGCTCTGATCTTTTTCAGAACACAATTATTTAAAATGCAACTGCTCTGCTTCTGGAGCTACAGGACTTGAGGCAGTTTGCTGAGCATACTTGGACTTTACATTTCGTAAGCAAACACCACCCACCTTCACATTCAGTCCATCCCCTCCTGATGTCTCCCTTGATGTCATCACTGACAACGTTCAAAGTACAGGCAGAGGTGTAAGAGCTGCATCTTCCCTTTGGCACTGACCCCTGGAGCTGTGAGTGCCCTGGTTTAGGTTCCACGGGACCAGGAGCCACACCCTGTCACACACAGCAAGCCTGGGAGGCACCCGCATGTGCTCTGGGGCATCCAAGTGTGCATGGGATGCTGTTCTCTCTGCAGACCCCGAGGTCTCTCCTGGTCCTTGGCAGCTTTGCCAAGGTGCTGGTGAGGCACTGGAGGGCAGCTTGGCCCTGGCCACAGCACAGCACAGGGAGGGGGACCTGCCTGGAAAAAACCCAAACACCAGGCTCTAGAAACTG